CCCTCAATAAATGTTTTAAACGATTAAAGGAGTGGGGGTTCGTCACTCCTCTAATGTTCCATACCAGAATGTTAAATATTTTGGCCCATGACCCCCCCCCCCCCCCCCCCCCCCCTCCCCTCCTAGCAAATCTAAGGGGAAGATGCAAGTGCTCACCCTCCGAATGGTATGTGACATCAATATTGTTTGTCTGTGTCATAAGTGGGAGTTCTGATTTCCTTCTACCTCTTCTCCTGCTATATTTTTGAATTGTCTATTCAGATTCTAAAGCCATGGCAACCATAGCAGATGGGTCCGGCGGTGGGGGAGTAACCGATGGAGTAGTATGTTGATTATTTGCTTGTGGGGGATCCTGAACCTCAAATTGTTTGGCCAAAGCGCTAGAGATTTGAGCCACAATTTCCGGTTCTTGTGTGGCAATGAGATCCACAATTTCTTCAACTCTCTCCATGGGTACAGGGCCCACGCGTGCTACTTCACCAAACTGAGCAGCACTGGTTGCCTCCAAATAGGGAGTAATTTGATCAACAGGGCACGCGCAAGGTACTTCAGTGGACTGAGTAACTAGTTCAAAATGAGGAGTTCGAAGAGCAGATTTCTGCTCAACAGAGGTCTCACGACCGGAAGTGGATTTTCGCAATTCAGGGTGCAAGTGAAAACAGTGTGCCGAATCATCGCCAAACATACTGCAGTGCGAGCAGTAGTGAGGATGTTTCTCAAGAAACATCGGTTTCCAATACCCCGTATGATTAAATTCAATCCAAACCTCCTCCGGAGGAGATAAGGTAACATCACGTTCTATTAAAATTCTAGCCATTGAAGGTTTTATTAAATTGAAGGTAGGGGCATCAAGCATTAACGGCTTACTATACATAGCAGCAATAGAAAACAAAATTTCATGATTGAACAAATGCATCTTTAAGCCCGGAAGGCGAAGCCAGACAAGAATAATAGGTAGCTCAGTCCTAGGATCAAACTCAGTTGTCCATTTGAGGTCTTTCATCCAAACATCACCAAAATGAACAGTTCTGCGTGCAAATGGTTTAGCATAGTCATCCTCATTAGAGAGTTGGATCCGAATATGCCTGCTGTCAAGACCACCGATCTTTCAACCCTCGATAAATTCAAAAGTTCAAAATGTTTTAACAAGAAATCATATTTAGGAAGCCCATATAGGAACTTACCTACAAGATGGAAACGACAGGCAGAGGCAAGAATGGAGTTCTCAGAGTCAGAGAGAAAAAGCGCACATTCCCCCCCCCCCCCCCAACCCCCCCCGGCGCCTCAAAGGGAAACTCAAACTTTGGAGGAGTACCAGAGGAGGAAACCACCACAGTGAAGATTGCATACGTCTTCGCCATAACTGGCGAGAGAGCGAAGAGGCGAGAAAAGAAGACGAGAACGGAGGAGAAGCCAAAACCAAACGAAAAGGAAAGAAAAGGAAAGATTTCGAAAGATCTCACCGGAGTACGACCGTCGAGAGGGAATCCACGTTGTCAGCATCTTCGAATCTCCGCTTGATTGCCAACGAAATCAAACCCTAGCTAAGCGCCCGAACCGTCCATTATGTATATATATATATATATATATTCAAAGCCTAAGGGCTAATATTTTAAATTAGAAAAGATACAGATTTGTTGTATGAGTGGGCCCAAATAAAGCACTCTACCCACTGTGCAACTCACACAAAAATCCAATAAAAAGAAGATACATGTAAGGCCCAAAACCAAAATCGCCAAAATGCAGAAACAAGTAGTTAGGGATGACCCAATTTAGTCTTGCATCTATCTCTAGTTCTAGGAAGGGAGCCAACTAACAAATTGTTGAGTTGCGTGTCATTACCTGAAATAATTAATGTGTCATCCATTAAATTCTTGAGCTCAATTAGGCCTCCATTTTTCTTCTTCCTTCTGGATGTGTAAATCTGTCATTCTTCATTCGAAGATTGACTCATCTGATCAGTGTGTTGGTCAACAGATTGTCGGGCATGTATAAGCTGATGAGCTCCTTGTGCCTTACTAACAGTAATGACTTCTTGTTCGAATGAGGTTGTAGAACCGCAGCAGACTTTCTAAAGATGAGGAGCTGCAAGGCTCTCCTGATTATCGGTACGAACATTATCCTTTGTAGGTAAGGATACTTCAGTATTCCTTTCAATAAGGCTTGAAGTTATAGGTTGCCCAGCAGAGTCATCCGACAACACATCAATCGCAGAAACAGAAACAGTATTGTCAGGGGGGTACCCAGGGTCAATTAAACCAGACACCAACTCCCGTCTTGTGGTAATTTTCTCCACAGGTGGAGCAGATGTGTCCAAAGCAGTGAGGTTAGACACATCCTTATGCATTATTTGAGTTTTAGATTTCAAGTTAGATTTGGAGCCTATGACATTTGTCAATGGTATGCTTAAACATCTTACAGTGGGTACACTAAAATGATCTATCTTCCATGTCAATTTGTTGCTAATTTCCGTTATGTGTTGTGCCCAGCGAGACTTCTGTAATATCAGGTAAAGTAATATCTCTTTCCACAAGTATTCTGACAACAGAAGACCTGATTAGATTGAAGGTGGGTAGATCTAGTTTCATAGGATCCCCAAAAATGGCGCCAATAGAGTAGGAGACATGATGATTAAATAGATGCAGCTTGAGACCAGGTAAACTAAATCATATTGGTATAGTGGGAGGTTCATGATTTGGGTCATAATCAAGAGACCACTTGAGACTTTCCTGCAATGTTAAGATATTTTTTAGAGGATCCAAGCGTTGTCTTCAGCCACGGTTAACTGAATCAACCCATGTCTACCTTCAAGAAGTCCCACTTTTCACTTGCCTACTAATTTGAGATCATCAAAACTCTTTCTGATAACTTTCATAAGTGGGTGCCCCCACTGAAATTTTTCAATAAGAGCGAGCTTGTATTTCTTAGTCAATGTTGAAATTTCTAAATCAGCGAGAAAGATAGTTATTTTTCTACCCTTCCTACTCGCCTTCTTAACAAAAGAATAATCATCTGTATCATCACGACATTCTTTATAACAAAAGAGACTTTGTCGGGTTCAGCCGAAAGAGGAGGGAGCACACCCATCGAAGCAAGGAAAGGGGAACTGCTCCGATGGGAGCTGACTGACGCGAATGAGAAGCAGCCGAAGCCGAAGACGCATGACGCCGCAGAAGCCAATCCCAACGAACACGAGCCCTTTGAACTCGAGACGACGAAGCACTAGCTGCCGAAGACTATGCACGGTGATAGACGTAAAGGCGAAACAAACTAAAACGACGAAAGGACGAGCAGAGCATGATCGACGAAGATGCAGTGGAGCAGAAACCAGGGTTCGCCATAAAGGAAAAATCTCTAACAGAGCGTGATCGACGAAGACATA